AAAGATCACGCGCTCACCTTCCCGGCGCTCCTTCCCTAGGATGAGACGCAAGTACTACCGGCTTCCCCCACAACTCTGGTCTCTCTCGTTGTTCTACTTGAACGAAGAAACAGTTCATGTCAATGAGCGCAATCACACGTTCCATAAGAGACCTTTTCCTAACATTAGATGACAAAAACCTCTTATCTTATAAAAGGCCTTGCCAAGATGGATAGAGATCATTTGTGTGTACATCATGCCAAATGACACAGGACAAACTTGAATAAGAATGATTCGAATCTCAAAGCGAAAACCACCTTGTGCTGGCAATTCAGCCCTAATTTCAATCGAGACGAACAAGAGAAATGTGTTTATGATCTAGAAGAGTAAGATTATCAGCGATAATGGAAAAGCAACTAGAAATGACTGTGAACATCACAAATAAGCAATGATTATACGAAATTGTTATTACAAGCAAACCTATGTAGACGTTTTCTTTTAGCAAAGTAGTGACATTGAGTTATGGAAGAAATGAAATTGACAAAGTGTCGCTTGATGAGATTAATGATAAAACCGGTAATGTACCCGTTATGCATAGAGCTGATAAAAGAGAAGAGACCACAACTCCTCTAGTCGCTATTTGTTGAAGAAATCCTCCAACTTTTTCTTGGATGCAGGTCCCTTTGCGTTTGCCTTAGACGCGCGCTTCTTTCCATTCGGCTTCTTTTCGCTCTCAGCAGCAGCTTTTAACCTTCGCGCTTGTTCTAGTTTATGGAAATGATCCAGCTCCTGCAAGTAAATACCGTAAGAAGACCAATCGACTTATTCCCTCACTGTAAGCTCTACACACGCATTGTATAACTCTAAACTGCTTCAAATATCAAAAGGAAGCAGATACTCTGGAAGTGTAGTCTCTTATCCAAAGGCATTCAAAATCAGGGACTATTAGTATATTAGAAGACCATTATCTAAAACATGACTCACACCTACCGCTTTGATATTCGGTGGTAATTCTTCAAAAACTGCGGAGGAAATAGTCCCGATGTCGCTTGATTCTACAGCAGGGATGGCATGCTTGTTTGAACTTTCTTCAAACAGTGCAGGATCATAGACCTGAAAAATTCCAGCGTACTGTAATCTTTGAACTTTGCTGGACATACCTGCCATCCATCGTCATCTAA